TACCGTTTTCTTACCGTTCTTTACCGTTCTTTACCGTTTCTGTAAACGTTCTTTACCGTTCCTTTACCGCTTTTTTACTGTTCTTTACCGTTTTTTTACCATTCCTTACCGTTTCATTACCGTTTTTTACCGTTTCTTTACCGTTTTTTCCCATTCTCTACCGTTTTCTACCGTTTCATTACCGTCTCTGTAACCGTTTCTGTAACCGTTCTTTACCGTTTCTTTACCGTTTTTTTTTTACCGTTTCATTCCTGTTCTTTACCGTTTCATTACCGTTTCTCTAGCGTTTCTTTACCGTTCTTTACGGTTTCATTACCGTTTCTTTACCATTCTTTACCGTTTTTACCGTTTGCTGCATAACGTATTGTCCATGATACATAACACGCAAACTCTTGCAAAATCTTGTCGCGGGAGCATAGTGTACGTGCTTATTAGTAATAAGAATATCATGTATCACATTCTTCTTGTGCATCGTACTTTCGAATGCATACGTTTGCAAAATATTAGATTTTGCAGCTACGACTAAAAAATTTACGCCAAGAAATACACAAGCGGGCGGTGCGGACGGCGCGGGCGGCGCGGGCTGCCGCAAAATCCGCCGCAAAAACCGTCGCGAAAAATAATATATCGAAAGAAGATTGAAACAATTATGTATACATATCGATATATAATATCGGTAACTACCGATCAACGGTATTATGTAAATATGCCGGTAACAAATTATGTAAATATATATATTGGTAAAAATTATGTAATTAAATATTGGTATATAATATCGGTAAAAAATTACCGATCGTCGATAATATCGGTATTGTGTAATTATATATTGGTAAATGTTCCGTACGGGAGCTGTGGTCCGCACGGATAGCGGGCGGCGGGCGGCCGTGCGCCAGGCGCGTTCCGCTCGCGGGCGACTGCCACTCGCCGCGGCTTCACGCCGCTACGCGGCAGCGCGCCGAGCCGGGGCCGTCGCTCGCAGCTAAATTTCGGTGCGGCGCCTATATAAGACACCGCGGGCGACGGCTCTAACCCTTTTGACTGCGTTAGCGCATCTGGTCACTGCCTCGCAGAGGTATTCTCTTGTACTCTATTTAGCTTCATATCGCCTTCTTGAGTGCGTAAGCACGTTGGGCACTTGCCTTGCCAGAGGTATACGTGTGCACATCTGCATTGATCATCGCTGCCTTCAGAGTGTCATAGACACGTTGGCATTCTGGTTTAAGTCTTCGCAGCCCTTTAGAGTGCGCTTGCACGTTGGGCTCTTGCCTCTAGAGTGTCCGAGGACACGTTGGCGTTTGTGTTACGAAGTGTATGGTAACTCCACGGATCTCCACCTTCTCAATACGATCGAGGATTGAGAGAAGGCTTCGCGTGACCACTTCGGATTACCTTGACACTTCCACCGCGGTGGACGTCTCTCTTCGCGACTTCTCCCGTATTGCATATACCGGGTATCAGCGCCGACAGAACTTATTACGGTCGAGCTCACGACTCCGCGCGAGTCGTCGTTGTACTCAGGAACTCTGCTACCAGGACTTAGCTGCTGCCAGGGACGCAGCATATACACGCGAGCCAAGCTCGCCTTCACGTACGCTTAGGACTTAGCTGCTGATAGGGACGCAGCATATACACGCGAGCCACGCTCGCCTTCACGTCCGCACAGGACTTAGACGCTGCCAGGGACGCAGCATATACATGCGAGCCACGCTCGCCACGCTCGCCTTCACGTCCGCTTACGACTTAGCTGCTGACAGGGACGCAGCACATGCACGCAAGCCACGCTCGCCTTCACGTCCGCTTAGGACTTAGCTGCTGACAGGGACGCAGCACATGCACGCAAGCCACGCTCGCCTTCACGTCCGCTTAGGACTTAGCTGCTGACAGGGACGCAGCACATGCACGCAAGCCACGCTCGCCTTCACGTCCGCTTAGGACTTAGCTGCTGACAGGGACGCAGCACATGCACGCAAGCCACGCTCGCCTTCACGTCCGCTTAGGACTTAGCTGCTGACAGGGACGCAGCACATGCACGCAAGCCACGCTCGCCTTCACGTCCGCTTAGGACTTAGCTGCTGACAGGGACGCAGCACATGCACGCAAGCCACGCTCGCCTTCACGTCCGCTTAGGACTTAGCTGCTGACAGGGACGCAGCATATACACGCGAGCCAAGCTCGCCTTCACATCCGCACAGGACTTAGCCGCTGCCAGGGACGCGGCATATAGACGCGACATAAGCTCGCCTTCACTTAGTCGCTGCCTGGGCCGCAGCACTTACGCGAACCACGTTCGCTTCTTCACCGACACTGAAGCTATACCCGTCGCCTACGCGACTCCACGCGCGAGTTACACTCGCGCCTAAGTCCCCGCGAGACTTAGTCTACGTCGCCCGCGCGACGTTACGATTCTTATTACTCTTGATCCTCCGACAAAGGGGACTTCTCCCAGCGCGGAGGCGCTGGGAAGCGGTGCATCCCCGCAGGGCCGCCGCTTCGATTGATCTAGCTCGCTTTATTCGAGTCGGCGATCCACCACACACGGAGACGAAGACTCTCGTCTCCGAAGAACCTCGCGAATCGCTTGCACTCCACGTCATCTCACGGGATCGCTAGATAGCGGACTGCTAGCGACGAAGCCCGCGGTCTCTACACGGCGAGCGGACACCTATCCGCATCTCGCAAAACGAACCGGCCGCTCTCCACCCTCGGGCCGTTCGAAACAGTAAAAATTACGTAATTAAATGTTTTTATATAATATTGGTAATAAGTTACCGACCGTCGGTAATATTGGTATGCCCTCCCCCAATTACTGATCGCTGATAATATCGGTATGCGCGGTGACGTCATACGCCCGCCCGCGGTACCCCCCACCCCTCACTCCCCTCGAAGGACCATTAAAATCGGTCTACTATACCTACTATGAAAATAAAAATTTTTATTTTGTTCAAGGAAACCATGTCATTTGATGAAACAACACTATTGTTTTAAATAGTATATTTTTAAAGTTTCTTTTAAAATTTAGTATTTCGATTTGTTTATTTTGGATTTTCTTATATTTTTTACTTTTTTTGTTTGGATTAATCATTATAACATTCTGTTAAAAATTTAATAGTAATTATTACTAGTTCACTACATTACATCAATATTCATCGCATATCGAATGTTGTTGCATTGTTTCAATATCTATCAGCAAATTATCCAACAAACACCAAGTAGAAATTATATAACTATTATTTAGTATTTGCTATGTATGTTATAATATATTGTAAACACTATAGAACTATATAAGCATAAATCGCGAGAATACGCGTTGGAGTCACTAGGAATCGCCGCGTGTCGCTCAATCATTAAGTTAAGCAACACCTTAACGTAGTCAGGATATGGATGGGTGACCGGTAGTATTACCACTTAGAATCGAAATTAACGAGAGAGGATTCACGAAAGTTTGGAGTGTTGACAATCTTCGATATCTAGTGGTTTATGAGACATAAGAAAATGAAAAATTGTAACTATATTTTTTTAAATATTATAATTTTCTCAATTTTTACCTTCGTACAATAATTTTCAGTGTTTGATTACTATCAATATTTAACAGTGATTTTATTATCAGTATTCACCAGAAATTAAGTACTGGCCAAAAAATTACTGAATTACTAGTAATACTTAATCACTAATAATTTTTCAGTATTTCTTAGTATGATATTTCTTAAGGAAATCTTCGGTTCCTAGCAGTTATAAGACATGAGAAAATTAGGAATTAGTTTTTTTTATGAAACATTTACAGTGTTTGTCCGTGTCATAGTGTTTTGTCTATGCAACGTTCGTGCAACACTTTTTTGTGCTATATTGCAGTAGTAATTACATTTTAAAATTTCCCACAAAAACTTATAAGTTTTAAAATGGCTTATCTTCATGAGTTAAGGTTATTATGCCGATATGTATATACATTATATTGCAGTGTTGCTGCAATCAACATATATCAACGAGCGGCTAAGCAGTGTGTGTGTGTGTGTGTATATGTAGCACACACTATACAATATACAAAATTGAATGCGCACACACACACACACACACACACACACACTGCTTAGCCGCCCGTGCGCTCGCCCGCCCGACAGGGCGGGCTCGCGGTGGGTGCATATGTATATATAATAGCAACATACGCACCCACCGCACGAGCATACAGGTATATTGTTCATTTTATTTCGGCAAGCCTTTTGCAATCCTAATTTAAAATGTGCAAACCAAGTTCCATGTAACATAGATAATTTAAAATTACATGTTACTTTTTGTCTTTTTTTGTGTGTTACTTTATAATGTTTATTTGTACAGTGAAACATCAAATTATGGTTTGCAGTTTGCTGTTGCACAACGTTTTTACACTTTGGACATTTGATTTGACATAAAATTACTTTTTTATCACACAAATAAGTTAATAAATTATCTAAATTATGCGTTAAATGAAGGAACTCGTATAGAAACATGTTGCTTCGCCAAGAGTACTATAAAGACTAATGTAAACACTAACAATGGTAAGCACAATAAACACGGTCGTATTGAAAGATAAATATTGGCATTCATGTAACAAGTAAAGAGAATTAAATTCCTCATATACACGATGTCTAATTTCAATGTATACTGTGTCCAAAAATAACATTCATTTTATAGAACTTCTTTTGTTAATAACTTTTTAACAAACAACGACTCCCGACTAAAACCACTTGAAGGTTACTCAGAATGATGTCCTTGATAACATCTCAAAAGCAAAGTGATTGGAGCTGGGTCCCTTATACGGAATATTTACCTTCTATTAAACTGTTTGTTATTGTATATCTGTTTGAAAGTGTTCATTTAAGATTTTTTGAAATATCCACTAAAATTTATGACAATAAAATGTATGTGGTTGTCAAATATTCAGCCATATCATCAATAACAAATCATTCACATATAACATAATTCTCTGTAGATGTAACAAGGTATGATAAATATGATTATTATAATACCTTATTGCAGTTTTGCCATCATGGGCATGTTGATCTATAGGAGCATCATGTTGTTCTAATAATATTTCTATCAATGATGTGTGCCCTTCCTGTGCTGCAAGCATGAGTGCACTTTTTCCATCATTGTCTGTTTCATCAATCTTCGCACCAGCATCCAGCAGTGCTTCACAAACATCAATGTGACCTTCGAATGCCGCGTAATGTAAAGGAGTCCAACCAGAATTGTCTCGATGTTGTTCGTCTAGGCCTTGACATAAAATTACATTTCTTTATGTTTATCTGCTATCAAGTTCTTTCGAAAGAGCAATATTTTTTTAAGTATTTGCAGTGTGTATGTGCATGTATGTTTATGATTTGGTAAAAATTTTTATTAAAATTACAATTGATTTCAACATATGCAAAAATGTATATATTTCCCAGTAAATATAATAATTAATGATGTTAAATAACGTATAAATGACGTTATTGTTTGCTGAGTCATTCGTATAATATGTAATATAAAACATTCTACTCTATTCATATAATTGAATATAGTGAGCACATATACAAATATATAAATAATATAGAGGGTGTTTCAGAACAATCTACGAAGCTCTCGTGAAAACGTAGAGCGAGTTAAAATAAATATAAAAGTCCTATACCGATTTGCGATATTCGTAATAGTAATCGAAAAATTAATTATGGAAGATTAAGGAAAAGTGTGTGCTAAATGGTAGAGGACGGACCGCTCAAGTCACAGCGCGGCCTAGCAATATAACGCGCGGATGTCGCGCATGACTAGACTGCGCTGTGACTTGAGCGGTCCGTCCTCTACCATTCAGCACACACTTTTCCCTAATCTTTCATAATTAATTTCTCGATTATTATTACGAATATCGCAAAACGGTTAGGATATAATAGGATTTTTATATTTATTTTAACCCGCTCTACGTTCTCACGAGAGCTTCGTAGATTTCCTGAGTCATCCTGTATATTACCCCTTTATCTCATTTACAACAAAACAAAAAAATTGTAAATACTTAAGTAATTGAAAGAAAATTGCCTCTTGTGGAGAGGGAAAATGCAAATATGTACAAATTACAATACTCTTCTTATGATTCAAAATATCATTCATAATTCAGCACTCTCTTTAACATATTCCCAATGAGCAAAAAAGCTTATATTTTTAACATTGATATTATGTATAACTTTTATCGTTTTTTAATGCTTTATAAGTATTACAAATATTATTTAATATAACATTGCTTTCCAAATTTTTAGAACATTTTTAGAATATTATAAAATATAAGTCAAAATATTTTGTTAAAGTTACCACAATTCATTCATATTACAAATAAATATAACATCATATTAGCGAATAACTTGTATATAGAGAAATTAATAAATTATGTGCGTAATATAATCGTGGACGATGTTCAGTATGAGATCATCCTGGATGTACTCAGAAAGATTTGAAATACTCTCCAAGACATCTCGGACACCTCTAAGATAATTATAAAATATCTTGTGCTATTTAGATTAGGATACAATTAATTTGTCAGGGATATTTTATTTAAATGGAAAATTATAAATATATTTAGAAAAAAAATATTTACTTTTTCTCTCTATCAAAATAATTTAAATAATATTTAAATTTAAATAATTTAAATATTTTGATAACAAAAATTATGAGCATAAAATGTCTTATGATTAATTTAAATTGTTTCATGCCTTGTGTTTTTTAAACTAATTTATTGTTTATTCTGATTATTTTAATGTTTGGTTAAAAATTTGTATTATATAAGAATATATTGTTAGCAAGACATTATCAGAATTCATTGTCTTCACCAGTTTCTTTTCAATCATCGAGGTTAAACAATGAGAAGCACAATCAAAACAAGAATGGGTGACCGCTATGGGATCGAATTGGAGAAATAATAAACGTATAAAGTGAAATAATGCAATAACCTAAGAAATATCAGATTTATTTTATTTAAACAAAGCGATCAAAGGATTAGTTTGTTTAAACTCATAGGTAAATTTATTATTTTTTTTTTAGAAGGTGTTAGTACATACTGACTAAGCGGATACCAAAATGTTAAAAAGACATACAAAACATAAATACAGTTTATGTACATTTATTTATGTTGCATTTATTTACAACATTATGATTAAATGTAATTTCAGCATTTACCGTAATCTCCAGACTAGCGTCAAAGTTCATTCGTAAAAATGTTCTACGTTAAAAACAGCACATTTAAAAATATTAGATATTATTGAATAACGTCATAATAATATTGCTGCAATAATTTTTTGCTACTAGGATTTTTATATTTATTTTAACCCGCTCTACGTTCTCACGAGAGCTTCGTAGATTTCCTGAGTCACCCTGTATATTACCCTTTTATCTCATTTACAACAAAACAAAAAAATTTTAAATACTTAAGTAATTGAAAGAAAATTGCCTCTTGTGGAGAGGGAAAATGCAAATATGTACAAATTACAATACTCTTCTTATGATTCAAAATATCTACTGGATATGTACAAATTACAATACTCTTCTTATGATTCAAAATATCTACTGGATATTTACTTAATGCATATGTATTGATATCTTTTTTTAAGATTTTGGTGTTGTCATACATTAATAAGTAAGATTGTTTAATATTTTCAAGATTTGATTCTATCCACGTTTCAAGCTAAGAATAGGTTCTCTATTATTTTGAACTTTAAAATACTTTTCGATTAATTTCTCCTTACTATGGTTTTTCACTTAGGATTAGTTTAAATCTCATAAAATTATAATGTATACAGAATATCCCCAGGAAATATATGTCGAAAAAACTATTTATTAGGTTCGAATAAAATATCGAATAAAATAGCCATTGTATACTGAATTTAATTGAGAAATGTCAAGTCTTCTTTTCAGCTGTCAAAGTCGCAAAATTACTTGCTGATGCCATTTTTGTGAGAATCAGAAATTAAGCTCGGTACTTAATAATATACTATTTGAATTTAAATTTAGCCAAATTGTAATTATCTCTTTTCGAAGGTCTTAAATATTATTAATTGTTGCTATTCATTGACACAAGAGTTTTCAAATACCATTAAGGCACTAGTTTCTGATGAGTTAATGAGCATTTCTATGTTGCCCTCAATATTTAATACAATATAATTTATTGGGAGTGTGCATTAATTTTAAAGAATTTCCAAAAGAAGGCGTAACTAGTACTATATCGCATCGGGCCATATTGTTGCTATCTTCATGTCAAAGCACCATCATGCTTTAATTTTCAGTATGTGTTATTTTATTGAAATAAACAACATTCTTTTTTTGAATATGTCGAATTTTGTGTCAACAAAATGCAATTTGCGGGAAGCTTTGCTTTTTTGCTTCCATTTGAAGAAAAATGCTGATGAAAGTCAACGAATGCTGTCGGAAGATTATACTCCATCGATTTCAACATGTGAGTATTGGTTTCGACGCTACAATAAGATGATTTTGACACGGAAGACAAGGAACGTCCAGGCCAGCCAAAAAAGTTTGAAAATGAGAAAGTGGAAGCTTTACTCGATCAAGACCCGAGTTAAACGCAAGAAAAACTTGCAAAATCATTAAATGTTGATCGATCAACGATTTCCAGACATTTAAAGGCCATTGGAATGATTCAAAAGCAAGGAAATTGGGTGCCGTAGTTGAAGCCAAGAAACGTCGAAAGACGCAAAATGACCTATGAATTGTTGTTTCAAAGACACAGAAGAAAAAGTGTTTTGCATCGTATCGTAACGGATGATGAAAAATGGATACGATAATCCGAAACGCAAAAAATTATGGTGCAGGCCAGACGAACCATTAACATCAACGGCAAAGCCGAATATACATGGCGCCAAGCTTATGCTCTGTATTTGGTAAGATCAGCTAGGTGTAGTGTATTATGAGCTGTTCCAACCCAACGAAACCATCACTGACGAACGCTACCAACAACAATTGATGCAATTGAGCCGAGCATTGAAGCAAAAACGGCCAGATTACGTGAAAAGATACGACAAAGTGATTTTCCAGCACGACAAACTCACGACACTCGGCAAACATGTTGCGAAACCGGTCAAAGAAACGTTAGAAGCGCTTAACTGGGATTTCCTATCATACCCGCCGTATTCTCCAGATATTGCTCCTTCCAATTACCACCTATTTCGATCGATGACTCATAGTCTAATGGAGCAGCGCTTCCATTCTTATGAGGGTACTAAAAAATGGGTCGATTCGTGGATAACCTCAAAAAATGTGTCGTTCTTTCAACGTGGAATCCATCTATTACCAGAAAGATGAGAAAAAGTAGTGGCTAGCGATGGACAATATTTTGAATGATCAATTTATAACCATTTTTCACAATAAAGCCGTATTTTTACCAAAAAATCCTTTAAAATTAATGCACACTCCCAATGAAATGAAAATACAAATTTATTTGTATCCAAACGATCGATCAACATTCATACTTCAAGTTATAATCGGAAGAATAATGTAATAATATGCAATTAAATTAATAATGAGATAAAATGAGTTACTTAAAATGAGTCGTGAGTTACAAAGAACTAATTTCTGATCACCTATTTTACTTATAGAACCAATTTCTAATTAAGTCAGAGACTAGATTCTGATCGTAGATGTTTTGTAACATGAAATGATTGAGGAGTCGTTGATATTCAACTTTTTTAATAATTAGTATATAATTTTTAGTAATCAAACTTTAACATACAATGTGCTCGCAAAAGAGAGAGAATATTCCTTTTTTCTCTCTCGCAATATTTTGATTGAATAAATTTATGGCTAGACTTATTTTATAATTATAATAAGACTTTTGTTGTAATTATAAAATGAGTCTAGCCATAATCTTACTCTATCAAAATATTGCGAGAGAAAAAAAAAGAATATTCTCTGTCTTTTGCGAGTACGTTGTATGTTAAAGTTTGATTACTTATACAACATTGTATCAATATTAATCGCATCGTGATTGTTGTTACGTCCTTTAAAATATATACCGACAAATATATCATTACATTTTTAACGGTATAAGAGTATATTGTAAATATAATCCACCACAATATCGTTATAGCGCATTAGCATCACCAGTTCCCGTATGATCATTGAAGTTAAGCATTGAACAGCATAGTCATCTAAAGATGGGTGCTGTCCGACACGAGATCAAATCTCACGAATAACTGAGACAACACAAAATATGAAATGCCATTTTTTTTGTTATTTAGATA